CCCGCGTCCCCTGCATCGGCAGGCGGACTCTCAACCACAAGGGCTACTTTTATAATAAATATTTACTGACCACTCCTCTTCCTCCCTCCCAAACTCCCAGGCTGGGTTAGTAATGTTTCGTATGTTAAGGCCTGGTACATACCTCTACTAATTCTCTTACCCTTTGACGTATATCATCTATGTGTCTGTCAGTCACCAATCACCCTTCCCCCGCAAGTCAAGTCCTGGTACATAATTAGTACTCAGTAAACTCAATAAATGTTTCTTGAGGAAATATAAATTAAGACTACAGTGAGATAACATTACACCTCCATCAAAATGGCTAAAATTTAAAAAATTGATATCAAGTGTTGATGAAAATATAGAAAAACTGGAAGTTTTAAACATTGCTGAAAGGAGAATAAATTGATACAACCATTTTGGAAAATTTTTTCGCAAAATCGATTGAAGCTGAACATATGCCCACCGTGTTACCCAGAGGCTGAGCTCCTGGGTACATATCCAAAAGAAATGGATGCTTATAGTGAAACAGGTTCACACCAGCTTTCTTCATAATAGCCCCAATCTGGAAACACCTAAATGTCCATCCACAGTAGAATAGACAAGTGAATTGTGGTATATTTATATCATGGGAGAGTACACAATAATTTTTTTCAATGGAAAACTGCTATGTGAAGCAATATGGATGATTCTCATAGACTAATACTGAGCAAAAGAACCCAGAGACAAAGAGGTAAATCTTGTGATTCCACTTCAGTGAAGTTCCAGAAGAGTCAAAATTAATCTCTGGTGATATAAATTGAAATAATGGTAAACTTTTACAGAAGGGAGGGGTAAGGCAGTGGAAGGGGACAGGAGAGGGACTAAGATGGTTTGGGAAATGTTCTATATTTTTATAATGGTATATTTAAAATCCACATATAGAAGGATTTTCTAAGGCAACGTCAACTGTCCTTTTTAAAAACATTTTATACCCCCAACCACATAAATATGTAAAAATTTGAGTGATATACTTAATGGTTTGTGCTTTTTTTTTTTTTACTATATGTAGGATTATATTGATAAAAATGTAAATATAAAAATAATTAAATAAAAATGAATGTTCCTTGAATGAATGAATGAATGAATAAGTTGGGTCTTCAAAGAGAAAAGAAAGAAGAAAGTATTACAGTGAATTTTAAAGCAGTACTTGGTTCTTCAGCACTTTATACTCCAATAATGCCCAAAGTGAATTGCTCATGGACTTCTTTTGCTTAAATATTAGTCCCCCAGGATTGTGTGGTTAAAAAAGGAAATCATTAACAGTAAAGCAGATGTCGGAGAGGTCTGTGGGACTGGCATTAATTCACAATGAGGGATCTATTAAGCCCTTGGGAACTGGGGAATATGCCTCATTCCCTTCAGTTTTTTATCCTTTTGTGCTTTACGAGGTGCAAGTACAAATTAATTTTTCGGACTCTTGAAGGGAGAGGAGAGGAGTTGGCACCCGTGATTACAAACAGGAACAGAAGCCACCCCTCACATGACATTGCTCAAGACACCTAAAGGCCAGAGTAGATTAGTTCTAATTGCCGAGCAGCCCGGCCACGGGATGCGCCTTTCCCCATTCTTCTTCAGGCGGGGCTCGTGGCTAAGCATTCTTCGTGCCAGCCTTGCGAAGGCCAAGAGTGACCAGCAACTCCTCAGACGACCGATGGCACATGCGTCAGAGGTGGTGTCAAAACCCGACCCGACTCTGGCTCCCACCACAGGGTAGAGGATGCAGCGTCAGGAGACGCGGTTCCCAGGCTGTCCAGTAGGTGTCGCTGTCCCGCGGCCGCCGCGCTCCTCGAGGCCCGGGCCCGGGGGCGTGTCCTTCCTACCTTGGGGCTCCGGCGCGCGCACCTCACCTGGGCTCCCGCCCCGTGCCTTCCGCGCCGCGGTGGGGTGGGGTGGGGGCCCGCTGTGCTGCGGTCCCGAGACCAGGGGGCGGGGTCGGACGGCGCGCTGGGAAAGGCGGGCCAGCTGGCGCCCAGGTGCGTTCTTCCACAAGGGCCGGGCGGCGGAGGCGGCAGCATCCGAGCAGCCGGAGGAGGAGGCAGACGAGAAGATGCCACTGTCGCTGCCACCTCAGGGCGACCACGGGCAGTCCAGTCCGTCCAGGACCCCCAAGAAGCACGCCTCCTTCCATATCTGGCGCTCCAAGAAGAAACAGCAGCCTCCGCGGTCTGACTGTGGGGTGTTCATTCCGCACCCGCCCCCGGCGTCCCTCGGCGAGGCCAGGTAAGTCCCTCGCCGTGCTCCCCCTTCCCCCCAACAGTCTCACCTCCTCCTGCCCCCTTTCTACTCCTGCTGCGCTGACCCTGGAGTCCTCTCCACCATCAGCCCGCTCGACCCCTCTCGGAGAAGGGGAAAGGCCCAGGGTCGTTTCCCCCGGCAGGAGCGTAACGGGCTCCAAGGGGGGGATGTGGTGGCCGCTGCGAGTGACCGGGTTCCTCGCGGCTTCTGGCTCAGACCAAGCTCCAGCGAGAGGAACTTGTGCCCACCCATGTGGCCTTTATTTTGACTGGCAAAGACTTTACACCAGAGTCTATACTATCAACTTGCTAACGGGAGCATGTGGGTTGTGAAGGGTTATTACCATAACGAACGATGATCGGAACTCCACCTGGGGATTCTGTAAGACTTGATAGTGGTGCCTGAATTGTGAAGAGTCCCACTCTTGCAGTTGTTATATCTCCATTGTCCTCACAGGATCCGAATGGAGGAAGAAGTGGGAGGGATGGTTACCCCCATTTTATGCGTGGAGAATCTGAGACCAAAGGGTGAATGGCTTGTCCCCATTGGAATCAGTGGCAGAACCAGGCAGAACCCAGTTATTCAAAGTGTAACTGCCATTGTGCTTTTAAATTCCTTGCCATGATTTTGTGATGATTTTATCCTTTATGCATAATTATTCAATTATACTGTCGGAGCTGATGGATTCGTTGAACAATAATCAATTGGATGTAACAGTATTTTTATGGGGTACAGGTGTGTGAAATATTTTTAATGGAGGACAGTTGGCAATATCCAGTATATCCTTCTGTATGTGTTTTTAAAACACACTTTTATGAACAATGAGAATACTATTGTGCAAGATTTGCATTGTAGAAATATTTTTCCTTTGTTTCTAAAAAAAAGTCTTAATTTGCAACATATTTTCATTCATTTAGCAAATATTTTATTAACTAAGTGCTGGGATATCAAAAACAATGAGAGTGGTCTCTGTCATCAAAGACTTTTTAGTGTCTTGAGGAGCCCAAAAAGTAAACAGTGGGTAAGTGCTATGATAGATATTAGCATAGAGGAGGGGATCTAGGGAGGCTTCCTGGAGGAGGATGACTGAAGCGCTTTAGTCAGACAGAAAAGGGGAGGAGCAACAAGTTCCAGGCAGAGGTGCATTATGAGCATCGCCAACACTTGGAAGAACATGGTACTTTCTGAGAAGTACTTCCTGAACAGGTGGTTCAGGGCAGTCTATGTGTGAGGGCATAGGGAGAGGCGTGCTAAGAGAGAAGGTATTTTATTTTTTCTCATATTTATCATTCCCGGTAGTAATTGGTTGTAATAGAACATTTTTTTTATCCACATAGACTTACTGTGCTTAACTACTAATTGAAATTTCTAACAAAATATGTGACTTAATAATGATGTATCCAACATAAAAGCATTTTTCCTATTATCTCAGTAAATATTTTAAAAACTTCCATAGTGGTGGTTCTTATTTGACCTAGTCGTATCATTTCGTATCTATCAAATGAGATAATACACAGCTGTAAACAATTTATTCAAACGCAAATACTTTTTAGATTAAAACCTAAAATAGGAGTCTTTGTTTCTCTCCTCGAGCTTCATGTATTTTAGTTCAGTCTTGAAGCATTCCATTCTTTCCTTCAGAACTATGATGAACTTTGTACTAACAAGTGTCCTGAGAACTAAACTTACTGGTCTGTCTTTGGGATGTTTTTCTAGTTATACCGTGTTTATAAATATTTTGTTTACTTCTGAGAGATTGTACCTGTTTCTAGTAAAGAGAGCAGCTAAAGCACACTTAGGTTTCTGGCCCATCTTTGGCCAATGTGGCTCTCTTGAGCCATCTGCCCTGTACGTTCATTTCTGTCCAGGATTTGGAGGTGGTGGACCTCAGCTGGAATGTGCAGCACTCACTGTGGCCTTTGTTTCTACATAACGATGGGACAGTCAGGTGGCCACACTTATCTGCTGGGCATACACGATTAATATTGTGGGCTTTTAGAGCAAATGAAAGTGAATTTATGTCCTGGATGCGTGACCTTGCACAAGTTACTTCACCTTTCTGAGTCAGTTTCTTCATGTGGAAAATGGAGAAAAGAGTAATACTAACTTTGTAAGGCTGTCATGAATATCACATGATAATTCATGTTATTAAATGTAAAACTCTTATCACACTTCTGGACACAAAGTAGAAACTCAGTAAATGTAAAGCCATCACCATGACCACCACCACCACCACCATCATCATTATTATAAATGCAAAGGTCTAATGGGAGAAATGGAAAAAACAGGGTTGGGGAGGGGGAAAATGCTTCTCTTCCTAAAAGAGCTTTTACCACTCCAATGATGGTTCAAAGTTTATTGATGTCAGATTTCTGCATTCTGCAAATATTTGTGACTTTCAGTGTAGATGTTCTAAAATTCAGTGACCATTGCTTACTTTCTTTACAAAAAGTAATTTGAATATGGCTGACTCTCTTCCTGAAATTCACCCTTAGAGGTTTTTTTCAGCTTGGTTTTGGTAAACATGTTAATATGTTATTTTCCATAGAAATAGAGCCTCGCCCTTCTGGGTCAGCCTCATCTCCTGTCTCGTCCATTCTGCTCTTGCCATCAGAGGGACCACGCTGGTGTGCGGAGAGGGCATGGCGAGCTGTGGCCAGACTTTCCTTAGCAGCCATTAGTGGCACCGTCATTTATTAGGTTTTGAATTATACTTCATTTTAAAAAAATTTTTTGTTTATGTATTTATTTTTGGCTGCGTTGGGTCTTTGTTGCTGCGCGCGGGCTTTCTCTTGTTGTGGCGAGCGGGGGCTACTCTTCGTTGTGGTGTGCGGGCTTCTCATTGCGGTGGCTTCTCTTGTTGAGGAGCACGGGCTCTAGGCACGTGGGCTCTGTAGTTGTGGCTTGTGGGCTCAGCGCGGGCTCAGTAGTTGTGGTGCATGGACTTAGTTGCTCCTCAGCATGTGGGATCTTCCCGGACCAGGGCTCGAACTTGTGTCCCCTGCATTGGCAGGTGGATTCTTAACCACTGGGCCACCAGGGAAGCCCTTGAATTATACTTCATTTTGTAAACAATTTATTCAGAGTGTGGATTCTCTATCTGGATTTAAATCCCTGTTCTACTTACTGTGACACTGAGCTGTGTCATCCTGAGCAAGTTATTATCCTTTTTGTGCTTCAGTTTTCTCATCCATAGAAGGGACATAATAAGCATTGTTATAAAAATAAGTTAATGCATGTCAAGCGCTCAGAAAAGTGACTGGCACGTTATGAGTGCTCAGTAAATGGGAGCTGTTTCTCCTTTTTCTTACTAGTATCTTGCCTATACTTTCTTTTTTTTTTAATAAATTTAGTTTATTTTATTTATCTTTGGCTGTGTTGAGTCTTGCTGTGCACGGGCTTTCTCTAGCTGCAGTAGGCAGGGGCTACTCTTCATTGCAGTGTGTGGGCTTCTCATTACGGTGGCTTCTCTTGTTGTGGAGCACAGGCTGTAGGAGCACAAGCTTCAGTAGTTGTGGCATGCAGGCCCAGTAGTTGTGGCTCGTGGGCTCTAGAGCGCAGGCTCAGTAGTTGTGGCACACGAGCTTAGTTGCTCAGTGACATGTGGGATCTTCCTGGACCAGGGCTTGAACCCGTGTCCCCTGCATTGACAGGCGGATTCTTAACCACTGTGACACCAGGGAAGCCCTATACTTTCTTTTGAGTAGTAATTTCATTGTTTATTTTCTGCTAGAAAATAGTTATTCCTTTTTATTCTCCCTAATCAAGACATCCAGTGTTATTTTGACTAGAAATGGGCTCTTCGCTAAGGTCAGTACAGTGAATTAAAAATGACCACCCTCGAACTGAACTGAACTCAAAACCTAGAAGCAAGCATTAATGCTCTCTGCAGGGAAGCCAAACGCAGGTGATGGGTGGGCTCCATAATCCTCTGAAAATCAGCAGACCTGGTTTCATTTGGAGGAAAAAATGCAGCCAGAGCCAGAGAGCAGAGCATCCTCATTTCAGGGTACATAGGTTCAAGTTTTGGGACTGTCAACAGTCCCTTAGTTTTTCTGTCCTGGCATGGACTTTTTCCTTCTATAAAGGGAAAACAACTTACTCTCTGTTTATATCACTGTAGTGTTGTGAGGATAAACTACTGTTTTATTCCATGAGAAAAAGAACAATAAAATGTTATGTGAAAGCGTTCTGGAACTGTAGAGTGTTAGTCTTCGTGACTTAATTGATTCTAGTTTTCAGTCTTTTGTGGCTGGTTTAGTGTTTAGAGCTCTAAACAGGTTTAATTATTTTCTAATATAAAGGACATAGCTAGATAAGCCTAAGTTTGTTTTACCTAATATTGCATCTAAACTGGTTAATACATACTGGGTTATTTCCCTTATTTAGCTTATGCCAAAGGCAAGAGTTTGAAATTTTAAGTTTATGTCATTTCACCACTGATAAAGCAGGAATTTAAATGTTAGCCCCTGTCACTTACTAGCGGTAAGCTCCTGGGGAAGTTTCTTTACTGCTCTAACTTCAGTTTCATGATCTGCGACCTACCTCTTAGCATTGTTTTGGAGACTTCTAAATATTTATTTACAATGACTAGCACAGTGCCTGGAAGATAACAGACGCTCAATAAATAGCTCTGAGAACGCGCTGCAGTGAAAAAGGCATAGGCTGTGGTGTTGGACGGGCTCAGTTTCAAATTTGTCTCCGCTATTTGGATAAGTTTTGCTAAGCCTCAGCTTTCTCTGTAAAATGGAGACAATAGCACTTCTCTTCTGGGGCTCTCTGACGGTTAAATACTATCTATGTAAAACACCTGGCCCAGGGCCCAACCCGAAGCAGGTGCTGGACAGATGAGCGGTGATGGGAGTGGGAGTGATTGTGGCAGTGATGTTGTAATTGTCGTTGTCTGCATAGTAATGGTGGTAGCATTCATAAATCCCTTTGTACTTTGTAAGTGGAGTCAAACAACTCCAGAAGTCCAGGAGAGG